AATCTAAAAATAAATGTGAACATTTTGTTTTTTTTAAGTCTCCTTAGGCGCTTTCACACCGCAGTACTTTTCCCACTTTAGTTCCCATATAGTTCCGAGTTCATGAGAACCTTTTTACCCCCTTGTCTGTCCCTGCTAGAGAGCAGGGACTTTCGTGGGGGAAAAAGGTTCCTATTTCAAAAAGTTTTGTGAAGTCGCCATTTTATTATCCTCGCATTAGCATTATTAGCATTAGCCCGGCGCACAAACGCAGAGAGACTAACTTATGGCAACACAAAAGAAAACATGGGAGCGGTGGAGATGAGGAGGTGTCGGCGTTCTGGCGATTTACTCGGAAGCCAGTAGAAGCCAGTCCCCAACTCCGGGGACTTCCGGCCGGGGACTTCGGGTGGCAGTATACGCCGTGAAGTTGTTTGCAGCCTGCCAGTAAACCCAAAGCAGAAGAAGAAGAAGAAGTGACGTCAGTGGCTTCATTTGCCTAATCCTTCCCCCAGGGACTTATTCCGGTGTGAACGCGATCTGTATGAGTTCTCATGAACTAAGTTCTGATGAACCTTTGTGGAAAAAGTACTGCGGTGTGAAAGCACCCCTTGACCTGTTGATATGCTGCTGATCTGATACTGTAACACAGAGGTGCCCAGTAAGTCGACCGCGGGGGCAATGCTGGTAGATCGCGAGTCATTCATTAAAAAAAAAAATCCAGCTCCGTTAAAATAGACAAAACAGGTTTTGATCCCTCCTCCCTTGGCCTCCCTGCCACTTAATTCAGGAGTTTACTTGATTGACAGAAAAAGCAACCTATCGCTTTCCAGTCTGAATGCAAAGCGATACAAAATCAGTCGAGTGCCGAGAAAACTCAAATTAAGTTAAAGAGACAAACAACAAAATGAGTGCGGGACCGAGCAAGAAGCTAAAGACATACCACTTCCACCCAGAATGGGAGGAAGAATATTTGTTTGTGATGTCACATTCAAAGGTTATTTGCCTTATTTGTAAAGCAAGCGTCGCTCTGCCAAAGAAAGGTAACGTGGAGAGGCATTATCGGAGTGTTCACAAGGCATATGACAGCGACTTCCCTCCAAGTAGCGAGTTGAGAAAGAGAAAGGTCATGTATTATTGCTACACAAACATTATCTCGCAGTCTTAGTGTCGCCAACTCATTTCTAATATGCAAAAAGACAAAAAAATGCGTTTCCAATCGAGACGAGATCTCTCTCTCTCTCTCTCTCTCTCCCGTCTGTGTGCGAGGGGGCGGGGCAGTTTACGCACACGCGGCTGCTACATGCAGCAACACACGGCGGGGATGGCGGAGAGAAGCGCTCCAAGGTGTGGTTAAATGCTACCCGTCTTGAGGTGGACAATGCTCCTTGCCAAGAGAGTTTAGCATGTAAGGGCGGTAACACGAGCAATTTGTCTAAACATTTAGCAAAAGTGCTCCACATCCAGACGGAGGAATGCACCGGGTTCCACTGTCTTTCTAGCAGCTCTGCAGCCCCATCCACGAGTAACGTTTCCACGTCAGGTGTTATGTATGCGAGCAGCAACACACGGAGTTAACCACATTATACAAACATGGGTTAATGATTAGAGGTAACAGAGTTATTTATTTTGTTAAAGTTTCAGCTATTCTGTTCACAGTTCTGTCATCAGATTATTTAATACGATTTGTTAAAACATTGTTGTTTCTTTTGATGTGAAATATTATTTATTTAATTTAAATAAAAAGCAATGTTAGTTTTGTTCACAATTTGTTAAGTTAATTTAATAATATATGTATTTTTGAATCAAGTATTCATCTTTATTGTCTTGTTAGTTTCCACATGCCTAAAACAACCTCAAGCTAAATCTAAAAGTTGATGGCTAAATAAGAGCCTTTGAGAAATTGTGCAAGGCATACAGTAATAGTCTGAACAGTCGATTAATCGTTTCATTAATCAATAGATTAATCGATTATCAAATGAGTCGTTTGTTGCAGCCCTATTGTAGTTATCCCATGTATAAATAAAACGTGTTATTCAGCAACCCTTGCAATTTGGGATTTTATTTTTGGTTGGTAGACCTCGGTGAGCTGGTCATTTCAAAAGTAGCTCACCAGCCAAAAAAGTGTGGGCACCCCTGCTGTAACACATCTGTACACACTTCCTTAAGCCTCTTCAAGTAGTTCAAGTCCTGAAAATAAAACATAGGACATTATCTGGTTTACCTTGATCAGTGGAGTCCTCCCAAAGAAGAATCCAAATAGATAGGCCATGATGTCATTGCAGATCACTATGGAGATTGGGACAATGAACCTGGAAACAGGAATTTAAACATTAGGAAGCAGGAAGAAAATCAATAAGTGGAAATCTGTTGAATTGGCTGGAAAATTGTGAAATTAACTCAATTTAAAAATATTACAAAAATATTTCTGTTGGAGCAGTTCAATAAAACAGAAAATGCTTTGTTTGTCCTGATTGAGTCACTTTCTGCTGCATTACTCATTAAAAAACCTGTATGTAGAGCACCAGAACACATGTGCAGCGAGTGTCAGAGGCACGTTCCTCTGGTCTGTCTGCGTGATGCTTACCAGATCTTTCCTTCAAACAGGTTCTGAATGACAAGGTGGGATTGAGTTACCACAATCAACAGGGTCACATGGGTCCAAGCAAACTGGAATGGCAAACACAAACAACAACAAGACAGTGTCACTGCACTGGAATGTGGCCAGGCCTGCTCAGAAGCCAGCTTGTGTCCAAAATAGTGGAAACATACAGAGAAACAGACAGACGGATGAGGTGAATGAAACGGGGGAAAGCAATCATATGAGAGTGAGAGAGGGGGGGGGGGGGGGGGGGGGCAGAGGATGGAAAAGCTTTTGTTGGACACATCCATAACAAGAATCTTGGGACACACAGGACTGAGAATTTAAGCCAAGAAAGGTCCTTTTTTCCCCATTAAATATTATAATACGATATAATAACCAGACTCCGAAGCTATTTGAATTTATAAAAATGTAGTCTTCATTTCCTTTCAGTTTAAAGTCTAAAGGGGGCAAATCACATACATATTATTATTGATAATAAATAATGAAATGCATATAAATAAAACTATTATAATAAATTGTTTAAAATAAATAAAATAATATTGCAATAAAATATAATTTTAAAATTAAAATTAAATAAAAGATAATATACAAAAAAAAGTATTAAAATTAAAGCCATTGCAGAAGTTCCACATTCATCCTGGATCAAATTATACATCGCAATACAGGCAGTTAACAGTGTAACACCAGTATGCTATGCTATGCTAGCACTGGCTGAAAAGTAGAGACTTCTAAAAAAGGCAACATCAAAGCACAGGATGAGTTGAAATTACATTCCTCAGAGGGTCATTACAGAGAGTAAGAAGCAGTGGAAGGGGATGATAGGAAAGTCAGCAGTGTAGTGGTGAGAGGATTGATAGGAGAGTTAAAGTGTAGTAACTTGGGTTACTTGACTGATACACACCATATAAAACTGCAGGCGGTAATGTTTCTTCACTAAACTCAGCACAAACATGCAGAAACCTGTGAAAGAGTAGACAACATGCTGTCAGTTTTTACGCCAAGTTGTAAAAAATTATACGGTAGATTATTATATGCATCACATTTACCAGATTGTCTACTATACACAGTATGGGGAGGTGTGTGTATGAAGCATGCCTGTGTTTTAACAATTCATTTTCTTTCTGACAAACATAAGAGTTTGACAATTGAGATGCTTTCTTGAGTTCTCCCTTTCCTGTAGTGTGTGATATAGGTTTGTGTGCATTGAAATGGTCTGCAAAAGCTGAACGTCATAGGCTAAGGGGCGGGACATCTCTAACCGGTTGACGATTCACAACAGAGCCGGCCAGCTAACCAATCAGAGCAGACTGACAGACTCTGGTTTCAGACAGAGGGTGAAAAGAGGTGCTGCAGCACAGGCAGTGTGAGAAAAATAAAGAGCTTTTTGAACATTAAAGCATGGAGACATGACAGTGTATGTAAATATGAACTAAAAAATGAAAATAATAGGGCCCCTTGAACACCAACGTAATACCCATTTGAAATTGTAATGGCGGTAAGCTCCTGTGTCAGGTTTGTTTAAAACCTAGGAATAAAATAAATAATAACGATGCTGTTAAGGGGGGCTGTTACTGAAAACAAATGTAGAAGATGCTTTGCAGAGTTTCTCAGAATGTCCCTGGGGCTGAAACCGCAGCTGACGTCTCGCTGGTGGAATGCAAGTCAGCAGCACTGAGGAGGAAGTGTGTTCACCCAGACTCTGACCCAACCACTGTGAACAATCAGTAAACAGAACCTCTTTTCATGATTCTTTTTTAACACTTAAAAACATATTATTTTCTTATATTATACCTATATATTATATTGGTTAGCTGGCCGGCTCTGTTATTATAACTGCTTTTTAGATGTCTAACCCCTTAGCCTATCACATACAATTTGTTGAGCACTAGCCAATAGAAGCACCAGTGTTGTGAAGTCGCGATGTTAAGCATGAGGAATAAATAGGAACACTTTTGAAAAGTGGGAATGAGTATTGGATATCATCTGGTTTATACTATGTTAAATTAAGAAAAGCAGAATCACGTTACTTTTATAGCCGCAAAAAAAGCTCTTCCTGTTATACAAAATGTGTCATAAAACAGCAAGTATTAAAAAAATAGATTTGAGATATTTTCAGGAACTTTAAGTGTGTTTCAATTGTGTGTTTTTGCCACCTTGTATCTTCTTAAATTGCGTTTTTATGGCACATCCGGCTGCAGTTTGCCAAAGCAATAAACCATCTTATCAGTAAAGAAAGACAGTTAATCATTTTGTGAACTCATCGTTTATACTGCATGTCTCCCTGAGGTCTCTTTATGCTCCATTTTCTCTGAGTAACTTTTATAACAACGTTTCTATACACGCGTGCCGTGCATGGTTAAATCTAATCCACCTGGAAAGATTAGAAGCAGCAGGGCCAAAGAGCGCGTGTTTGAGATACAGCGTTTTCTTGAAGGCAAGACCCACCTGCGAGGTATAGAGCGAAGGAGATGAAGCGGTGATAGCGAGACAGGAACTGCAGAGGCTCCTCCCTCTGCACCAGAGCCCCAAAGTAATCTGCCAGAGTTTCACCATAGAAGAAGTAGTTGACGCAAATCAGGAAGTACCTGACGATATAAAACAGAGGGAATTAGTATTTCTTGTAGCAATGTATTCCTCAGTATGGACAAAAGAGTGTGTGTGTGTGTGTGTGTGTGTGTGTGTGTGTGTGTCACTGCATGTCTAGCAGAGTTTCTGTACATTGACCTCCTTTGTGTGAGTGTCTGTGTTATGACATTGGCGATTCCAACATGGCAGTGATCTTTGCTCCCATGTGCACTGAGCGACGCCGACACACACACTCTCTAGGTGTGTATGCAAAGGTGACTTGTTCAGGAAAACCCTGGTACAGAAAAAGGAGCAAACCCCTCCACAGTGCAGTGGTGTGTAGATGTTGAATATTCACAGCAACGGCCTGCAGAGGAAGCTGGCCTGACTCAGCGCGTTACTAAAAAATAAATAATAATATCTGACTGCTACTGGCTTTTTCATTGTCCTCGCACATTACAACAAAGGCTAGGGATGAGAACTGACTCAACATTTAGCCCAGTGATTCAGAATAAGAATCGGTTGTATTGCCAAGTAGGTTTAAACATACAAGGCATTTCTTTGGGTGGGAAACAAATAAAATGGTACTATAACAAATAAAGACAATATTTACACAAAATATAAATACACCAAAAGCAAAGTACAGTAAAATAATGACACATTTGATCATTTACAATGGAGATCTGTGCAGATAAAAAAAAAAGAGGTAACCCTTTGTGTAAACTTTTGAGAGGGGTTCGTAAGATTCTCACTTAAAATGAACAAGATTTGCTCGCAATAACTGCATCAATGTAACGCATGTAGGGCTTAATATTGTTTCTTTGTCTTTTTTAAACTGTTGACGATTCGGTACTTGAGTTTCTACACAAAAATCACACATTGCAATACCTTAGTTTAAGGTTTAACAAACTTTTAAGAGCATAGTTCCTGTGGAAATACTGCAAGGGTAAACCATTGTCTATTCACAATACATCTACAGTACATCTGCTGTTCACCGGGAAATCAATTCTCCTTACCAGCTTAGTGTCCTGAACCAAGGCAGCTCATAGGAATGGTAAACTCTGTAGCCGATGGTGATGATTTCCTGGAAACACTTGATTTGGACAGTCATGACCTATATCAGATGATGGGAACAGAGAAGAACTGTGAGAAGCGTTCTGAGAAATAAACCAAGACATCTGACCCTAGGAATCCTATAATAGCTACAGTATCACCGTCACTTACAATTAATATAAGAGCGATGGGTCCCATATAGATGATGAGGAAAAAGCCAGAAATCATGGCTATAGACAGCACTCCTCGTATCCAGTAGTTCTTCCATCTGTGGAGAAGAGAAACAGGTTTTAGAATGACTTCATCCTCAAAATTCATTAATGCTTCATTTGTGTTTCGGTAAGTGAGATACTCAGATATATGATTCACTGTCTGGCTACATGTCTTTATTACTAGTCATAAAACAACAAGCATGAAGTTATAGATCATGATTAGCAGAGCCTTTTAATAAACACAGATGACCAGTCGTTTTATATCAGCTGACTACATTTGTCAAAGGCCATCGTGAAAGAAAACGATATACGTATGTTTGCAGGTTGTATAACTGTGTAAGATGACTAATATTTAGCCTTGAGTGATTAGCTAGTTTGGTTTCTTAAGAAGCCTTGAGAGTCTTCAACAATATTAGCAGCTCTCTGAAGCGGTACATTGAGACAAATGCTTCCCAAACGTTTTACGAGGAGGGAAATGCAATTAACATATATGTTGGACCTGAATGATATACATTATATTGACTATAATAAGGACTCCTTAAAGAGGCTTTATTATTCTTTTTGGGGTCTGTAACATAGTGACATCACTATGTAACACTTGCACTCATATTGGCTAGCGCTCCAACGCATTAAACATGATTGGCTAAGGGTTGGACATCTAAGCAGTTGACCAATCAGAGCAGACTGGGCTCTGGTTTCAGACAGAGGGTGAAAAGAGGTGCTGTAGCACAGGCAGTATGAGAAAAGTAAAGAGCTTTTTGAACATTAAAGCATGGAAACTAGGGCTGAACGATTAATCGATTTTAAATCGAAATTTGAAATGATGCGATTATCAAATTGCAAAGCCTGCGATTTTTTATTTATTAATCTTTTTTTTTTATTTAATTTTTTTTTTTCCTTCTTGTGTGTCAGTCATCCACACCAATCAGAAGTGCTGAGCTCCACATGTACCAGCCATTGTAAACCAATCAGAAGGGGCCCATAATAGAAGGTGATAGACAGATTGATCCAATCACCTGCCAAGTGCTTTTGAAAGTGCCTGCCCTTTCCAAATGGCTTCCAATGGAGCTTTAGATGCTTTGGTGAAACAAACCATCTGAGTCAGGTTAGTAATGCTCCATCACATGTTTTATCTATTACAGGGTGAATCTGAAGCTTGACTTTAAAGCAACCCAACGGAAGTTTCATGTAAGTTTAGTTTTTTCACTCGTAGCTCGGGCTGCGAGGGTGCTAGAGACGGGAGCACGTTGATACGACCTTCCTAGCCGGAGATATGGCCGCATTTTACAATAAACTTCCGTTGGGTCGCTAAAAAACAAATATCGCAAATCAAATCGCAATATCTGTCAGAAAAATCACAATTAGATTATTTCCCCAAATCGTGCAGCCCTAATGGAGACATGTCACAGTAGACAAAAGATACAAATATGAACCTGAAAATGAGCATAATAAGGCCCCTTTAAGGTTGTTACAATTCATCTTCAGATGGGCATGAACGTGTGTACCAAATGACATGAGAAAATATATATATATATATATATATATATATATATAAAAATAAAACAAAAATGCATTCACCAGAAGTAAAAAGCTAACGTTATAGGCAATAAATGAACTACATCACGGTCACATGACCTCCCCTAAGCTAAAGGCTGATTCGTTTGGTGTGAGGATGTTTAATTGTCTCGCATATTTGCTTGTTAGCAACCGCTGTTTTTATGACACAGAATCTTCGTACATTTGAGAGAGTGGCATCTACTGCTTATTTTATGTCTTAGAAAAAAAACGTGAAAAAATCTCAAGCTTTTGTAAACAGACCTTATTTCAGGCATCTAACCAAAAACACATTCCAATAAAATGCCAACTAGTTTGAGTTTGATCACTTATTCCTGTACCACCCTCTTTTGGCGACACATGAAGAGGACCTGAGCAGAACCAGGCAGCGAAGTAAGCAACACGAGTGCAGAATAGTCAGGTTCGATGGGGCTTGGATACGCTCTGAAACCTTTCTTTTTAGCGCTTCTGGTATAATATGTTACGAACCATAATATTTAATGGTTATTAACCTTCTGGATCTAAACAGCACATCATTACATTACATGTTACTTGTTAGACGCTTTTATCCAAAGCGACTTACATACTTAATACTGTGGACAATCCCCACAGGAGCAATTTGGGGTCTTGCCCAGGGACACAACGACATGCTGACTGCAGTGGGACTCGAACTTGCTATCCCATGATTCGACGTCCAGCACACTAACCACTGAGCCACAGCCCGCCACACTTGCAGTAGTAGGCCAACTACCTGTGCCGTCACATAAGCATTGGCAAAAATGTGGAATGCGGCCTCATTCCTCTGGAGTTATTTTCAAAACATGTCATGCAGTGCGTGTTGCTGTGAGGCAAACTGCTGCACTGCCTGAGAGCAGAAAACAAAAGAGAGGAAACAGCTACACGCGGCACAGCAGCCCAGCAGGGCAGAGAGCCTGGTGCCTCTGTATGAATGGAGAAGAAAAACAGCTGCATCATGAAAAGAGAAAAAAAAAGGGCTGCTGCTTCCACCCAGCGCTGTGAGCTCACACTGTCTCATCATCACACCATCACTCTCTGGGAACGCTCCCTCCCTGCCTCCTCTCTTCACCTTCATGTCCATCTATTCATCCTTCTTTGCTGTGTCATTTCACCTGCTCCATTCATCTTCCCCATCATCTCTTCATCCCATTTCTTCCCCCCTGCAGTCTGCTCCCCCCCCCATGTCTCTCTGCAGCACAGAGGCTCCTATGACACTCAGGATTAGTGCTTCCCCTCCTCCTAATGAGCCTTTAAGCTCTGTGACCTGGCCGTCGCTCGTTGGTCACCCTCTCCACCTATTATCTGTATATCAAACAGGACCTCGGTGTGCAAGGTGCTGCTGAACTGATGCAGATTGCCAAGTGTGACAGTCCTGAACTTGCAAGACATCTTTTCACAGTATAAGAATGTATACTGTGAAATAATAGTTATTTTAATAATTGTTCGTTTCAATCTCCAGCATAAGCATTTCCTAGAATGTATTGTTTTGCTTTTTTTATACGGTTCTTTACGGTGGCCGACAGGTGGAAATGCGCTACAACAGCCATAAACACTTCCATTAGGAAAATAACGATGCAAATATAAAAACACAAATGGCGCATTTCCACTACAGGGCCTCGCTCGGCCTGGCTAGGACTGGCTCACTTTATGCTGCGTTTCCATCACAGTTTAGTAGCTGGGGCAGTAACTATAGTAACGCAGTGTAGGCGGAGTCGTGACGTCATCTTCAATGAGAACCACAGAAAAACAACATCAACCGTTAGCTGTTAGCTGTTAGCACTCAAGCTCACAGCTCCTCATATCTGTTCAGAAACTCGACAAAAGTTAAACAAGTACAAACCACAGACTGTCTGTGTCATGGAGAATACAGTCGCTGGTTTATTTCTGTCTGTAGGCCGTTGTTGTGAGTGTGGACGGTCGGAGCATATACTGCGTTAGCTTAGCCAATCTCCATTCAGAAAACAAGCATTTTAAAAAGGGTTTTTCGCCTGCCGTCTGTCTGCAGACTTGTCAAAGCATTAATTCATGGTTTTTACTAACCGGTATCAGTATGTTGTTACTTCTATTACCTAATACCTTCCATTGAACTGATTTAGTACCAACCACAACTAGGGATGCTCCGATCGATCGGTCACCGATCGAGATCGGTGACCGATACTCACTCTCTCTACCAATCGATCGGTGCTCTCTAAACATGCCGATCGCGAGAGCCGATCGCAATGACGTAAAATACATGACACTTTTCTCTGTGTGCGGCAAAACAAGCTCGCCAAAATGGCTTCACCGGTCTGGCATTATTTTAAGGTGTCCGAAAAAGACAGTAAAATAGCGGTATGCAACGTGAAGCAGAAATCCTGCAGCTCCGCCCGCCGGACCGGTAAGCGGAGCAACACACAAGAGTTAGACCTAACACACTTAGCTATTTTATCTACCTCTGGAACTAGCTAAACTAGTCATTATAAATATATTTATTCTTCACTGTCGGGTCACTCATTACTGGATCAGTGAGCTGCATGAGATACTGAGAGGCTGTCAGGAGAGAGAGAGAGAGGGAGAGAGAGAGGGAGAGAGGAAAAGAGAGCGCTTCCGCTCATTTCTCCCGTGTTTTTATCCAAAGTTAATGTAAACTTGAATAATGTACGTCATTTGAATGTAATAATTAAGTTGATTGTTGTTTGTGGAAGCTCCAGTGAATGAGCCCCATTAACTGAGTTTTAAACATCACTTTAAATGGAAGATTTAAAGTGATGTTTAAATCTTCCATTTAGGCCCCGCCCACTCGATCGGATCGGCCATCGGTATCGGCCGATACTGATTCCGGCCCCGAAATTGGCAATCGGAGCATCCCTAACCACAACACTTGACAGAACAGGTTGTAAAATGTCCTTGCAACTGCATTTCCTTCCCTGCATTATTACTACGAGCATGTTCATACATCTCTGAAGGAATCTACTCCAATTAACCTACATGCACAGGTGAGAGATGATCAATCACTCAGGGTCATTTCATGAAAGGTGGAGGGAAAACTGTGTGACAGCAATAATATAGCTGTTGTACAACTTAACCTGACCTCAGTCTTAATTGGTTCGAGGTATATCCAATCAGTAAGACATAGGAAACATTTTAGAACTGGATTTGCATTTTTGTTGACCTACTTGTAATCTAAGAAATCTGAGATAAATAATTGATTAAGTAAGTCGAATTGAAAGACTTGATTTGCTATTCCAATAAAGAATGATCCTTAATATAAACATTAACCCTGATTTATTTTGGGCTCCCATGATGAGTTACCGTTGATGTGTTTTACTGGCTCGTTACAATCGGGAAAAGCCCATTAAGCTAAATGTGTCTCAGAAAACATAGACATGGACTAGTAAGGCTAACTGTTAATCATAGGTCCCCATCCATGATGCATATGAGGATAAAACAACTGCTGGCCTCCGTCTCTTGTGATTAACAGTGTATGAGCAGTGTGTACCTGGGCGGCAGGCCCTCCAGAGCTTTGTTCAGGTATTGTGGAGTGTTATCTGTGTCCGCTGTGGAGAGAGGGACATCTGGAGTGTCTGCTTTGGAGTCACCGTCACATTCTCCGTCTGTGCCCAGCCTGTCGTCCAGATCTGCCTCCTGACGGGACACACAGATATTCAAAACACTAAGGTTAGAAAACAGAGATAACAAAGTTGAGCAGTGTACACAAAGTGATCACAGAAAAGGTGAAGGATACAGTATTGTCCTATCGAGTGATGTACACTGAGAGCACTTTGGAGATGCAAATGACAAGTAAATGTTGAGCTAGTCAAATGATTCTTCAATGGCAGGGCTCAAATGCTGTTTAGCATTTCCTCTTTCTTCTAAGACGTGTGCTCAAACAGATGAAACCGTGGAGATTACACATTTCCTTTTGCATATTTTACCAGATACAAGTCTTATTGGTATTTAAAAAAAACGTCAGCTATAACAATGAGATTCATCAATCAGGAAACAGACATTGAGCAGTTTTCTTACTGCTACTACGAAGTCAAAGATATGCCATATCTTTTAGATTCATATATAAGCACTTTGGTTTTGGAAAGTGATGAAAAACAAGTACTGTTTTCAGAATTCTGGCAACGACTCGGTAGCAAGTATTGGTTCTCGTGACATCCCTAGATTGGTAAGTAGAGTGTAGAGTTTTGTTCGTGAGTAGTACCAGTACATCACGTAACATTGCCTCTTCTGCCCAAAAGAGGCTAATTTGAAAAACCAAGTGAAATCCTTCTGAGGTGGGAGATTAAGTTCCCTCACGCACTTGAGAGGTCTCGCTGATGCTCCTGGACATGTTTCCCCTTTCATGGTAACTTCCACTAAAGCAATGCTAAATACGGTCAGTGGGAGCATCAGGCTTAAATCAGAGAGCTGTTCCTTTTGAAATAAGGTCTCTGATCCTGGACAGATGTTGCAATTAGCAGGGAAAGCGCTTAAAGTGGGAGCAGTTTGGGGTCACTTGAGTTGGTGTTGGAGCTTAGGAGAGAAGATGTGTAATTGAAGATTTTGACTAAAATCGAACTGTGTAAAAAAAGTCTAGATATAAAAGCGCATTGAAGCTATAAAACCTATACATTTTCTTTCCTCAGTCGCAAAATGATAAGCTTACTAATCTAACAAACTTGTGATTAGTGCAGAAAGAATTGATAAGTATGACAGCTGCTTTAATTGTTTAAGTCATATATTGGCTCTTGGTCGAAAAAAATAACAATTTGATGACTTCAACATTGGCTGAGGGGCTTTTTTCAAACATTCTGTGGGCTCGATAATGCTTACTTTCTACATTCAATTTAACTTTAGGAAAAATGCAAAGACCATAAAAGGTAGACATTGACCACAGTTCAGATTGAAGGGACATGTATGTGTATTTATTTATCTTTCATTCCAAAAGTAAGAAAAATATCTTGACTGCTTAAACCACCGTAAATAATTATTATCAGTAAACCCCTTAAATAATAAATAATACTTAAAAGTATACAGTAATATTATAGTATTGGTATATTTCTCAACATGGTTTTATCGATAGTTTGCAATTAATTGGAATGTTATTGAAATCGCAATATGGAAATATGAAAAAGCAATAGCCAAATCGCAGTTAGCCCAATATATGGTAGAGGCAAAATATGTAAAAATATTTGAAAGAAGTATTGTGTAACTTTGCTTGGTACAGATCCTTAAACAAAATCTTTGCATGATATTTTTTTTATATTTCTAAATGATTATGTGAATAATGTTTCAAAAATGGTTATTCCCTCCAATATCGCAAATTGTATCAACATTTTAATATTAGTGAATTATGTATTTATTTTCAAATTGTGCAGCCCCAGCAAACATTGTATTTTCTTGCATCATGAAAGCGGCTCAGCCAGCACATTACTTAATATGCAAAAATGTGTTCCATGCAGTGCACATGCAGTATTATGGCCTAATCTGGGGAATGTACTAACGCTTATTCATTAAACTGTCAAACACTGATAATCTTGGTAAGTAAGTATGCTAACTTAGAGTAAATACCTCACAGTCAAACACCTCAAACAGTGCTCCAAATATGTGTGCTAACAATCTAAGTTATGCTATGGGGTCGACCAAGTCCATGGCCTGAGTATCTGTAAAATCACCAGTATATGGCGGGGGGAAAAAGGAAAACACTGCCAACAGAGAATGACATTAAACCTGAAGGAGGCAGGTTGAAAAAATTCCCTTTTACTGTGGATGTTTTTCTACCCTCTGAGTGTTACTGTCCTTGCAGCCGGTTAACCTCCACTAGCATCTTTTTTCCTAATCCTCCTCCTGGCTATTAATGTCTTCTCTACAGATAGGCAGGAGGGAGAGAGGACGGGAAGAGACAAGAGGACAGGTGACAAGAGACCAGCAGCTCAAAACCACATCCACACTGAGGTCGAGTTAATCTAAGGCCTGAAGCAACGCAAAACTTGCAGGGTTGCTTCTGATCTGACAACACCTACTGAGGACAGTCAAATCACAAAAACAGTGGTTATATTTGGACACAACCTAGAGCTGAAGCAATTCTTCAGTTAAAGAATTTGTTGAATACTAAAACAAATGCTAGATTTGTTTTTTGAGCAACACACCAATTAATAATCAATGGTTCAAATTCATTTGCTAGTATTTGTTTGGTCTTCTGTGACTGGACACTTTTTTTTTTTTTTTTTTTTTTTAAATCAACCTGTGGGTTAAACTGATGATTTTTCCGAGTCATTTGCAGTCCTACTTCTTTTCACTAGGGCTGTGCATCTTAACTGGTCTCAGGATTCGATTAAGATTATTATGTAAACAATTCAATCTCAAAATGCGTTGCTTCCTCAATTTTCTATATTCACATGGCAACTTTTTCATAGATGAACACAAGCAGTCAAATAATTATGAACTCCCTTTTTTATTATTTAGAAAGTGCATCAGAAATCAATAACATAAATGTCTTAATATTAAATTGTAAACCAAAATTAAAAAAATAGTATACGTCTAGCCTCCCTATATCTGAGTGTGAAATTGTTCCATCCTCGAAAACATAACTAATAGCTGAAGGTTTTAGGAACTGTCTTCGGGCTCAAAAAAAGGACACTGAATGTGGCAAACATCACAAACATCACATTGTTTGAACACAGCAGACAACAGGAGTATTTACAACCGCCAGTAGAAACAGAAATACTGTATGTGGGTGCACACTTAAATTGATCTGTTTTACTGTTACATAAATCCCATTAATTTATGAGATTAAGTTAGCCTCATATCTCATCAATCAAAGATCAATAGTGTTTTTGTTTTGTTAGATGAATTACTTAAAATATTTATAATTTGAAATAAAAAATAATCTACATAAATCTAAGCGACACTGACTGATTCAGTGTGACGTTGCTACCAGGAAGTTATTTTTGAACAATAGAACTTTATTGTACATAAAGAAGTCGGGACATCGCAGGTTATTGGGATTAAGTCCTTAATATAATAATTATAAAGAGATCTCAAAATATAGCAACCAAATGTTGCTATGCCTGATGACACACAAGAAGAAAAATATATCTAGTCTTTTTTGTTTATTTCACAAAGCTTGAGATTACATACACTAAATTAGGTTATAATGACGCAGACTCCTCTACTGTCATTTCTAACAAGGGCTTTGCAGAATGAAGCTGTGTCCAGCAGAGCGGTTAACTGCCTGCTGCCCCTGCTGCTGCTGGGGGGGGGGGGGCTTCAGGGACGGACAGCCCACCAGCAGACAGCCCACCAAGGTCAACTGTCATGTGGAGTCTTGAGCAGCCGCTAACTGTCCCCCTGCAACGATAGGACCATGAAGGGAGAGCAGCAGTGTGAAGCACATCGGGTCATAAGGGAATCAAAAACCCATTCTGTGTGAGTGTCAGTGTGAGTGTGAGTGTGTGTGATTTTATTTGTGCTCATGAAAGTAAATATTGGCCTTTGAGACAGCACACAAGGAGGGTGTGAATTTACATATTTAATACATGACTTTGTCCAATACTCCATTCTGGTTATTTCTGATGAACAGGCCAGTGCTATGAATAAGAGTCTAAAACTCTTATCAAAGACTTTGGAGGAGGAAATCAATCATATCAATCTTCAGAAAGGAGTCACATGTTTAACAATGTCAGCTGTGGCAAAAATGATTTTGTGATAAGTGTAATATTTTAAATGTTTCCCAAACATAAAATAAATTGCCCCCCTGTGGGACGGATAAAGGTATTCTGCACAAATGCTGTCACTTAAATCAGATACTACCGCTAGTACACTAAGATTCTGAACACTACATTTCAACTGGGTTGTGAAATTGCACATGGCTGCTGTGCAATAAAAGGACATTATAATCACCGCTGTTTAATAAAAAGCGAGCAACATTATCGCTTTCAGTACAAAATCCTTACAAACTGCCCAAATAACCCAATAAAATGGGTTAATAAAGGCCACGTCATGTTTAACAGTATAGTGCTGTATTCATAATACGATGGCGTTCACTGAGGGGAAAGTGTCCAGTGTTCCACACTCAACGAATGGATGACTACACCATCCTGGTACTCATAGTACTCAGTGCTCATTGTGAACGCACTTATGCATCTGAAATAGCACAGACATACACCAATTAAGAAACAGTAATAGACTTCATTTGGAATCGCCAAGGGAGTTTATATGGCGACCCATTTTATGAATAATCTTTTTTGCCTGCTGTACATTATTCCTGTGTGTGTGGGATTTTCAAACCAATCCAGGTAGACGCCAAACACTCGGCCTTCTTTAGAGACCACGTATATAAAGTGCACCACATTTAAACATGATCTGCATTGGTGCTTGCTGCAGGGTGTGTGACACAACAAAGTGATCCTTTAACCTCGAAAAAACAAGTCAGAGGGTTGACTCATCCCTGCCAGCCCTGGACTGAAAGGCTGTTTCTTATTAACTCCTCAACTTAGCTTTGCTATTTCTTGACTCTGAGCCAGCAAATCTGTTATGTTTTAGAGCAGGGGTGCCCAACCTTTTTTGAACCGAGAGCTACTTTTAAAGTTGCCAGACTGCCGAGATCTACCAGTCCAAATAGAGAGGCGTAGCTAGGGTTGGGTACCGAGAACCGG